AGCTTTTTAATCGATCGATTTAATTTCCTTTTGGGACAAACTGCAGAGATTTCCACGTCTCCTTTGTCAGGCTGTGGGACAGAAAGCGTTTAAAGTTTCAGAGCTCTAATGTGCAGCTGTCACCCTAATAATACACACTTCTTTTGCCTTACATCTTTCTGTGTGAGCAAATGTCTCCATCCAAGGTTGGGTCGGGTCACTTATGTGAGACGTGTCCCCATGCAGTCCTCCACAATCCTGACTGCGTGGTGCTAGAAGTGGATGTTGACTGGTTGATAAGTGGGCGAGGATAGCACAAGCTGGTGATTTCATACCTGCCGATTTCTAATCGGCTCCAGAATAGGTTATGTTCACATCAAGTTACCATGGTGATATTATGGTAGTCTTTACCTTATTATAGCCTTATAAAGCCCACTGATGCAATTGTTGTTATGATTTGGTACTATACACACTGGAAGTGTGTTTGGGGTCACTCTCCTATCAAACAGGATAGGAGAGTTTGAGGACTTGACTTTAATTTTGCTTTGTTTGTCAGCTTGACAGAATGAAGACTGACACTGATGTTTATTTTTAGTATCTGAAAAGAAAATATAATCTTAATCTTAATATAAATAAAGCTTAAATGACTAATAAAATGTGTATGTCTGTCTTTTTCTCCGTGTTTATTTTGCCATTTCGGTTGCTTCCTTGTACTTTTACTTTAAGATGAATCATTTCAATTAACCTCAATAATTATAATAAATTCTTACAGGTGGTCCAATGTTTCTGGATTACCCACAGCCGCCTCTGTCTGCATAAAAGCAGTGCTGGAACACTGGTGTACCATGGCCTCGTGAGCATCAGGGGAACAGCATTGTCCTTGTTGCTACAGAAAATGGTGAGAAAAAGTAATTAACAATGGAGGAGAGACAGACCATCATAACACTTAGATGTAGGTCTTGTAGTCTGATGAATTATAATCTGAAATCTTTGCATTCTGCAGCGCCATGCTGTACCCTCTGGTAAGCTTGAAAATATGGAGTGGCCAGCACGGTCTCCAGACTTAAACCCCATCAAGCTGGTTTGGGATGAACTGGACCGAAGAGTGAAAGCAAAGCAACCTACAAGTGTCAAACATTGTAGAAAGAACGCCACGACTGTGTTCAGCTGTTATATCTGCCAAAGGTGGCTACTTTGATGAGAAGTTGAGAATACATTTGTCTTTAAATTGATTCTGATTTCTTTTTTAACTCCAATTGCTTATTTGTACTGTGCTTTCATTTCAGAGTACAATGAGACATTAAACTGGATAATTTCCAATAAGCTCTGATGAAGCTGGATTGACCAAAGTTATTGTTTGTGTCGTGTTTCCATGTGTTCAGTAACTTTACTGTTATTTGTATTTTGTTTCTAAGTGTGCTGTCGTCTCCACAGCAGTGATCTGGTTTCTCTGCAGTTTCAATAAACTTTGGTCTCACTTGATCTTCTGTTTGTTTCACAAAGATGTCTGATGGACAACCTGAGTTGTTGTGATGAACCCAAAACACTTCAGTTTTCTTCAAAGCAGATAAAGTTCATGTGAGCCACAGACAGCAGGAACGATTTCACACATGAATCTTAGTT